CGGCAGCCTAGCGGCAGCCTAGCGGCAGCCTAGCGGCAGCCTAGCGGCAGCCTAGCGGCAAGCGAGGGGATAGGGGATCGGGATGGTGGTGCGCTTCCGCGCCAGCGCAGCGGAGGGAGGGTGTTTAGTTTAAATTTTAATTTTATTAATATTCACTACCCCTCTTTCCTTTTTTGTTTCCTTTTTTTTTGTTAAAAAACAAAAGGAGATTTAGCCAGCGGAGGAGCGGAGAGGAACTAGGGTATTAAAAGAATAATTTTAATAAAATTATTATGTAAAGAGGTATTAAAACCTCTTTGTTTATTTTTTTAATATTTTTTTTTTGTAAAGAAAATATAATTAATTTAATTATAAAAAAGTAAGTAAAATCTCAGTTACTTATAATAAATAAATTAATTCAGGTTAAATATAATGTTTAACGATAAATAAAAAATAAATAATAAATAATAAAAAATAAAAAACAAACAACACTAACAAATTTAATCCAATGATTCAATTACTTCTAATAATACCAATTATAGGTTCATTATTAATATTACCGATACAAGAAAATTCAATAAAAAATGAAAATAAAATGAAAACGATAGCACTTTCAACCTCTCTAATTAATTTATTAATCTCTATATTATTATGGGTTGCATTTGATACAAGTACAAGTGAATATCAATTTATATATGAATTCAATAAATTGAGTTTTTGTCACTTTAATGTAGGAATAGATGGTATTTCTCTATACTATGTATTACTAACAACATTTATAACACCGATAGCAATACTATCTAATTATAAAAATATATATAAAAATATAAAATATTTCCTAATTTCTTTTTTAATATTAGAAACATTACAAATAGCAGTTTTTGTAGTATTAGATTTATTTCTTTTTTATATTTTTTTCGAAAGTGTATTACCTGTGTTATTTATAATAATTGTAGTATACGGTTCGGGTGAAAATAGAATTAGATCTGCATTATTATTTTTTTTATATACTTTAGCAGGTTCTTTATTTATGCTACTAGCTATTCTTCATATTTATAGTAATGTAGGTTCTACAGACTTTCAATTAATATCATTATCTGAGATTAGTTTACAGAGTCAAAAAATATTATGGTTAGCTTTCTTCTTAGCTTTTGCAGTAAAAACACCTCTATGGCCTTTAACAGGATGGCTATATAGAGCTCATGCTGATAGTCCATTAGCTGGATCAATTCTACTAGCAGGTACTATTCTAAAATTTGCTACTTATGGATATCTTAGAGTATTAATTAACTTTTTACCTGATGCTTCTAATTATTTTGGTCCATTAGTACAAACTATTGCTATTGTTACTTTAATTTATTCTTCTTTAGCTACTATAATACAACAAGATACTAAATCTCTTATTGCTTATTCAAGTATTGCACACATGAGTGTAGTTATTTTAGGTATATTTTCTAATACTATTCAAGGGATAGAAGGGGCTATTTTACTTTCTTTAGCTCATGGGTTTGTTTCACCTGCTTTATTTATTTGTGTGGGTGGAGTTATATATGAAAGAACTGGAACTAGAATTATTCAGTATATTAGAGGTTTAGTAACTTATATGCCTGTATTTACTATTTTATTTTTTATATTTACTTTATGTAATACTGGAATACCTTTAAGTTTAAATTTCCTAGGAGAACAATTATCTTTAATTGGTATATGGGAAAAAAGTCCTATTATCTCTGCTCTAGGTGCAACTGGTATTGTTTTATCTGCATGTTATTCTGTTTATTTATATAATAGAATTTCTTATGGTGTATATTCACCTCACCTTAAACCTTATATTGATATTACTAGACAAGAATTTAATCTTTTAATTGCTTTACTAATACCTACTATAGTTTTAGGTATTTTACCTAACGTTATTTTATATTCTATTCACTTACCTGTATCTACTTTATTATATTATTAGTAGATTTAAATATTTAACTAGTTATAATTTTTATACTATACAACACCGTCACTGTCATTTGCAATATATGATTTTTAAAAATATATTTTTATAATCCCCGGTTTACGATATAGTAATGATATTGTAAAGATTATTTTACAAGAGTAGCTATGTCTGGCGGCAGCCGTCCTCTCCTCTCCTCTCCTCTCC